TTTCTCAAGGTAACCAGGCCTGTACCAGGGATGGTACACTTACTCACAAGTTATTACATAAATTGCTCTTCTAAAGACACACTTCAAACCATTTATTAGTATAAATCTTACTCAGAACTAGGAACATTACCTGAGTTTTGTGGCCCTGCTGATGGAAATTAGAGACAAGTGGATCTAGCTGAAGCTGTCTGGACTACAAGTTCAGGCATTTTTTGAACTTCAACCTTCTCCAAAGAGTTTCTGCAAGAGTTTTTAGATTGATTTTAAGCAGCACTTATCCAAAATGGTGAAAATATAGCAAGAATTACATTTGGATGAAGCTTTATAATTTTTGTGCACTACCTAGGTACTTTCTGGTAGGTTTCTGAATAAGCTTCTGTAGAAGGATATCCAGGGAGTGGGAAAGGGAAGGGAATAAGCTTAACTCCTTTAAACCTCCACCTAAAGCCAGAGAAGGGAGCCCTACTCCCATCTAGAGACCCACCATTCCCATTATAAACTAGGCTGCTCTGTCCCAGCTCGGAGTTGTTCCACACATGTGGCAGAACTCGCCAGGTTCTGGGCAGTGGCCAGCTTGTCTTACTACCACTGGAAGTCAAGTGCTTCTAAAGTTGCTTTCTTTTCCCTTCATAAATTAATTTCCTGCATTTCCACTCTTTGAAGTGTGAAAACATCAGACATATGACCACTCTGCACAGAGTGGCAAGTCATGAAGAGAGGCGAGAGATTTATCAAAGAAAGGGGAAAGTGCCAAAGACTCTCTGAAACTCCTGAGGCCACGTTTACGTTAGCAAGTAGTAAGGCCCAACAAGAGTAAACTTAATAGTTTGTCTCACTTTTGAAAATGCAGCATCTAACCTACATACATTTGCAGGGATAGGGGATACTCTGAACTACCTCCAGGCTAGTCCCACCCGTTGGGACATGTTAAATATGGACTTGGAGCACCTTCTCATTTAGGTTCATTTGAAAGTAGTGCAGTTTGTGTACCCTGTGAACCAAAGCATTGCAAGTGGCAGCAACAGGGAGATTTTTTTGTTATTATTATTTTTTCCCAAAAAGCACATTCCTGACAAACTAAAACAGTGATGTAGGTACACCTTGTAGAAACAGCTATAGTAGAAAGGATCTGCAAGACAGTAAAGCAGTAATCAAAGGTAGAAAGAGAAGCAGTCAGAAGAGAGGCTAAGAAAGACTGGAGAATCTCCAAAAGTAATAAGCCTCATTAAAACTGGAAAACAGGGAAAGGCAAGAAAAGAATGCAAAGTGTTCTGGGATTTCTGGGCACCTTTCTAATGACAGCTGGAATGAAAGCCTGAAAGACACAAGTCAGAGCATAGCAAAATGAAATTTATCGACAAGAATATGAGCTTAGTGTAAGCATATAGGCTACTACACATTTCAATGCAGAAGGCAAGGTGCTGAAACAAGGACAGAAAAGCTGAAAATTAAATGGTGAGGATGTGAGCAGTGGCTAGGAGGAGCTGGGATTAAAAGACCAAGATGAAGCTTAGCTGAAGAAAGCAGAGAAAATATTTTCAGTTGAATGCAGTCCAAACCCATATATCAGGATAATGGGAAATTTGAGATCCCATTATTTTTTGATCTTCCTGTTTTGTTCTGTTCTGCCATAGTCTTGTAGCTTTACATTTGCCTGGGCCCCTACGGGAAGTTATCCCATTGTAATGCCATACCTTATTTTTGTGATTAGGCTTATAGTTGAAATATAGAGTGACTCACCAACAGTATTTCAGACGAATGAACACAATGATTCTAATAACTGTCTGCTAATTGGCAGGTTTTTGAGATAAAGACAGCTGAATAACTTGCATCCTCTGACACCCCAAATTACTAACGCTCCAGTAGCAAATAACAAAGTGGTAGAGATTGGCATTATTACTTTTTGGTACAGTGCAAAATACATTAAAATGAATCTGGCTTGTTTATCTGCACAGCCTAGGCCATTTCAAAATGTTGAAAATCTCTGCCTTGGCTCTAATATACGATGTCCTAGAGAGCTCTATATAAAACTAGAAGAAATGCTCCTAAAGCAAGATTCAAACATTTCTAGATTACAATTTTATGAATAAAATTAATTAACGAACAATTCATTACATTCTAAAAGCTTCATCTGACCATAATAATCCTTGTTTGCAGCCCAAACAGTATTTGGTAATTGCAGAATGATGGAGCAATGTGGATATTTTTTGATTACAGTTCATTACATAAGATTACGAGGAAGAATTTGTCTTTGAATCATAATGAAAACTTAATTGACACCACTACGCTAAAATATTTCCAATATTAAATTTCAGTCTATGTCTTAATCAGTTTTATATTAGAAAGAGATTTTAACAAGATAATGCTGTGAACATAATTTAATTGCATTATAAAAACTTTGGCTGGATCTCCTAAGTAATTAAAACTCCATCCATCTTGGAAATCTAACACAAATGCAATTGCAATTTTAATATTCTTTAAGATTATACACTATCAAGTTTCTTTTATTTTTCTCTACTACCTTTAATCAAACTTAAGCTCCCACCCCCCAATAGTCTAAAATGTATACTTGCAAGATAATTTCAGGGGGGATGAATGCCAGACACCAGAATTATGCCTCAGAACATATGTTAAACTTAAGCAACAACACGGGTAATATTACAAAATGCAGTTACTTTTCTAGACAACATGTGCAATGATTCCCAAAGACGGCTCTGTCAGATCTTTCGCTCTACCCAGGGGTGCTCTCGGCTGAGGCGGAATGTGCGGAGAGCTCATTCAGACATAGAGCAGACTTCACCTAGGCTGGGGCCTCATCCAATAAGGCATTTCTACCATGAGCTCACATTTATTTCAGACACCTTCTCAACACTATATTGAATAAAATAACAGGCAGAAAATCTCGTGTGGAGATAACAGGATGCATCGCACGACTACAGTGCTGCCCATCCTTCATACAGACACAACTGGTTGCCAGAAGTTTTAAAATGGCAATAGCACGTTTTGAACTAAAACACCTCGAGGAAAGGACACCGAGCCACCCTTTCAGAAAGACCGTGCAGCTGTGACTCAGCATGCCCAGTGACAGGCAACTACCACTTCACTTGCAGCTGAACTCCTTCTGACATTCATGAAGATGCTCTAGAAGGAATCCCATAAGCCCCAGTCCCACAGCTTGAATTAGAAGTAACCCATGAAATCACTGAACCAGTTGTCATCTAAAAGGGTCCAGCTGGCTCCTATGCTAGAAGGACAGACAAGAGAAGTCCAAAATTCAGGCTCCCGTCGAACAGCTAATTGCCAATCAAGGACGCAAGAAATTAACAGCATTCTGGGGGAAAAAAAAAGAAGAAAAAGTTACTTGTGTTGCATTGCTGGTTCACTAAAATTTAATGCCCTGTGTTAAAAACAGTCACAGCTCTTGGTAAGATGATTAAAACTACGTAGCCACAGTATTTCGATCCAGACTTCAAACAATATCATTGTGGATTCACAGTCTTGGTAGAGGCTTATTTCTTACTATAAGCTATAAGGAACACAAAGTACAAACCGATAGAATACACTTTGCTCATTACTTAATTAAAATCTGCCATTTGCAAAAGTGTTCTGAAAATTTTTCTCTGAAAAAGCTGTTTTAACTGAATATGTGAAAAATGGTTTAAAACCCCTTGTATTTCTGGCAATAAAAAAAAATCAGATTAATAAAAAGGTGCTACAGAGGAAAAGTTGCTATTATACATGACTTCTGGATTCCACGACAGAGACAATTCACTCAACACAGTTATCCTGTGTGTATTAAAATACCTTTATAGACTAATCAGACCAAACACAAGCCAAGCTTACAGCACTCACTGCAAGGCAGCACATATTCATATGGATTTAAGGTTGGGAATACATATGGTTTATGTATATGAGGCATAGATACATTTTTTGCAATGATACATACCTCTATACACACACACATGTAAAATGTATCCTGTATTCTAGAACTAAGCAATACAAGTGCAGGGAATGCAAATTTAAAATACATTTACAAGCAATCTATACATATGTAATATGTACATACATACACTTACAGCCTTTCTCTTCACTGCAGAATAGCCCAGCTCCTGCATGCATGTCAAAGAACATCCCTTGCGCTGAATAACATGATGACAATTTTCTGTGTCTAAGTCACATCAAGAAGTATGGAGAAATGCATGTGTTTGCAATAAATTAGGGTAGCTTATTAATTGTTCCGCCCCCCAAGTATCAATTCCATTATAGTCTTGAGTACTAACTTGTCAAAAACAACAGACTAAACCAGTGAAATACAGCTACCGTGTACAAAAAAAAAGTTTATTTTTTTCATTAAAAACATCTACACATAGTTTTGCTTTGTTTATGTACAGTCATAAATGTAAGCTTAACACTCAAGTTTAAACATCAGGATTTCAAGAACACAAATTTATTGACTTCACGATCAGCCTCTCAGAAGGCATTTTACAGTAAGCTGAGCTGGTAACAGCTACCTGTTTCCAAAAGCAGCAGTCCCACCTGCCCTGCAATCTTCCCCCTTCTTGCATGTAGAAGCTGGTTTGCCTTGAACTACACTATTGCTTGTCTAACCTTTCAGTGACCAGGTCAGGGAGCTAAACAAGTGAAAACCTAGTTTAAAAAAGCTGCAGTGAAATGCTACATGAAAAGAGCAAGCATTTTCTTCAAGTTTAGCCACTCAAACCAGGGTGGGGCTAGATGAGCATCAGAAAATTGACACAAAAGGGGCAGAAATTTGTCACCAGGGACAAGGGAGGAAATAAGACCACTACTTTGCTCAGCAACTAGCCACAAAACCATCTTAACCGCATTATGAAAGCATACACTTACAGGTCATAGAAGAAAAGACAACAGTCTCTCTTGCTTACAACACATCACAACAAAATTTCACATTGCATACCATGGTTTATTCCCTACGCCTTTGACAGACTAACAGGAAACATCCTGAAAAGAAACTCTGCTTGTTATTGCCAGATCTTGATTTCTCCAGCCCAATCACACGTTGCAAGGAGCGATGGCAAGACTGGGTGAAATATTGCACTCACACAAGCTTCTTTATGTGCAGACAAAGTGCGAATAATCCGAGCAGTATGATAGTTGTAGAAAAACACCTTGCCATCTGAACTTCCTGTCACCAAAAGTGTTCCATCTGGAGAAAATTCACAGCCCACTGCAAATCCTTCCACCTGTGAAGATCAATAACAGTGTAACTCCTGCTGCTGATTAGAAAAGTTCATTGTGATATACTTGAAAATTAATATGGTACACAGAAAAAAATGTGTATCTTTAAATAAATATACACTAAGGAATTCTCCAGGTGTTTTTTAAAACACAGCTATAACACAAACTTATTTAATCAAGCTATGAAGTATTCATAAAGTCTTCTAATAACTATTTTCTTCTGAGTACATATGATTCAAAATAGACTGGCACAAGGGAAAGAAAATGAAGCCAATTAATATCTATCACTGATTTATAATCAAACACTATTAGCAGACATATTAAAAAGCAGAGGTACTATCTATCTTCCTTCTAGACTTGGATACTGAGTTCGCGGTGAAGAAGGATACCTTATGTCCTTCATATCTTTTCTTTTTGTTGATTCGGTAAGGTCGCTGGGCAGAAAACAAAGCCATGTAATTCCCATTTGTCTGAGCCACAAACACAGACTCTTTTGGGTGCAGAGTCAGACTTGGACAAGTGTAACGCTCCTGAAAATAATTTTAAGGAAAGTTTAGTTGCATGAAACAAAAGGTTTGTTCAAATGAATCAGGTTATCTTTTGACATATTTGAAAGACCATAAAAAGCAAGGTATACATAAATCATCTCCACAATATACATTATGTAAAGATCATAGAATCATAGAATAGTTTGGGTTGGAAGGGACCTTTAAAGCTCATCTAGCCCAACCCCCCTGCAATGAGCAGGGACATCTTCAACTAGAGCAGGTTGCTCAGAGCCCCGTCCAGCCTGACCTGGAATGTTTCCAGGGATGGGGCATCTACTACCTCTCTGGGCAACCTGTGCCAGCATTTTTTCACCCTCATTATGAAAAATATCTTCCTTATATCTAGTTGAAATCTACCCTCTTTTAGTTTAAAACCATTACCCCTTGTGCTATTGCAACAGGTCCTACTAAAAAGTCTGTCCCCATCTTTCCTATAGGCTCGCTTTAAGTACTGGAAGGCTGCCATAAGGGTCTCCCTGGAGCCTTCTCTTCTCCAGGCTGAACAACCCCAACTTTCTCCACCTTTCTTCAATAGGAGAGGTGTTCCATCCCTCTGATCATTTTTGTTGCCTTCCTCTGCCCTTTCTCCAACAGTTCCATGTCTTTCCTGTGCTGAGGGCTAAGATACTTAACTCATTTTAATCCACTGAAAGTCTTACACCAAGACAAATATCAAATCAAATCTCTACCCCAATTGCCTAGATACTGACCAAAATCCCTTCTCCCTCTGAACCATAATTATACTGCAGAACAGCTGCAGAATGGTAACTCCAACCTGATGGTACTCAACCATCCTCTTCCTGCCCAAGGAAAACTGAAGTTTGAATGTGAAAGTGAATCCTCTTCTCGCACAGCCCTTCCTCCATAGTCATACTGTGCCTTCCATGCTACCTTGTACAGTTCTCAAGTCCCCCATCCTCTCGCTTATAAAAGCTCTTATAAAAAAAAAAAACAACCCTCTTATTAAAAAAAAAAATAGGATCATTATTAGCTACTAAGTCAGAAGTTCCTTATGACAACGATTTGCCAGGTAGACTGCTGCTGGCTGTAAATTCATAAATATCTGCAAAAATTAACACCACTTGTCTTGACACTAGTGTTCCTACTTAAGACTGAATTAAGATTACTTTCAAAACTCAGCCTGGTGACAGCATCAGAAATTAACTGTTCTCACAAGGTTTCCACCAGGTCCAAAATTCTTCTAGTTTCAGCCTAACCCCCAAAAAATTCTGATACCAGGAATACAAATTAAGATAGCTTTGGCTGTAGGATGCATCTACATGTGAAGGACACCAGGCTGACAGGGACCACTGGACTCCATTGGCTACATGGTAGAGTGGGAAGAACATCAAACTGGTTTTCTTATATGGTTTGGGAGTGATGAACTGGGAAGGAAGTTCTGGGCATTGTAAGGTATCGGGCACAGAAACCCAAACAGGGTTAGGCAGTGTGCCTGGTTAAGAGTGTGCTCCGTGGCAGAGCACTGCATGCTTCAGGAGAGGAACTGGGTCTAACAGTAAGGGATCAGAAAGCACAATGCAATCTGCAGGAGCACTGTGCTGTTATGCTGGGTATACTGTCGTAATGGATTATTTTAGAGCTCTTAACTATTAATTCGTTAATGCAGACAAGGAATAGATCAAGTCCTGTTGGGATCTAATCTGTTTGGAGAGCTCAGGGCTTTTCTCCCACTTTGAAGTGTTCAAAAGTGAAATACAGAAAAGTGAAGTTTCCAATATCACCATCAAGTTCTGTTTATTCACAGTGCAGAAAAGGGGGAAAACAGTCCACATCAGAGATGCTGTAGTCATGAGAAGGGGTGTGTGGGGGGGTGGTTTGTATGTTTGGCAGGGTGTAAGGAGAAAAAAGTTTGGTTTTTTACTCCTTGATACTGAACCTGACTGGTCTGTACTTTATATATTCACAGTTGTTTGTTTTTGTTTTTTTTTTTCTATTGCCTATCCAAGATGTTGATAGATCCAATATTGGACAAAGACATAACTGTGGAAATTAAACATGAAACAATTCCACTAGATCATCAACTACATGGTCTTGTCAGTATAGAACTGTTCATTTCAGCTGAAAAGCACCTATATACAATCCAATCATATTACATTACATAGCATATTAGACTTGAGTTTTCAAAAAAGACTCAAGGAGTTGGATTTCTCTATTAACCTCCTTCGTAAACTCCTTTGAAGCTGTCAGCCTTTCTAGACAATTTAGTCCATTAAATATCTTGCATGGATAGATTACTGAGAGAAACACTGCACCTGCACTGATAAAAGTAAATTTTGCCTCTGTAATTATGCCGTACTAGGTATCTATATGCATGTATCAGGGTGCTATTACTATGTGAATATTAAACTCAATTTGTTGATAGCCCTCATTGCAGCTGATGAAAAATGTATGAAAAGGTGTGGCAAGAAAAGAAACCTGGCACTATAGCAACTACTGCCATGCACCACTGGCAAGCTAGAATGACACTGCAGTGGCCTTGGCCTTGCCTAATATAGCTTAGACGTCTGTGAATGAGCACTGAAATGTAAATATTTTTAATACAAGGAGATCTATCAGTCTTCACGGTAATTTTTTAAGAATACCTAAGTGTTTCTAAAATATAAAAGTAAAGCAAGCCCTCAACTTACATTAAGAGCACTTTATACATCACACAGTGATCTTGTGTGATCAAAAAGTTTTTTTTACAACACTGACAAGCATGAAATACTCAATCATGACCCAAACAATACCAGTTGTTAATCTTACATGAAAAATCTGATTGGAGATTTTCGCAGCACTTTGGAAGTCCCATGCAATAATGGTACGATCAGCTGAGTCCCGGCTTACTGCATCTGTGCTTGTCAGAAATTCTCTTCCTTCAGGGAGAAAGAGTATATCCAATGTCTGTTGTACTGCAGCTTTGTACACTCTTAACACCTAGTGGAAAAAAAAGTTTATTTTTTGACAGATCAGAAGAACGTGATAACCTATGTTTTCTCTCTTTGTATTAATAACTACCGCCAACAAATTATATATTATTTCAAAATGTGAAAAAGTAACTCATTTTTAAATGTTGAAATACTAGTGTATTAAATAGCTTGTTAATGTATGTAAAGAGTCCACGCATAGGAATATTAAATGAGATAAAAGAAAGCATCAGTTTGTACAATTTATGTATTATATTTATATATACATAAGTTTCTGTTATAAATCCCCAAGGAATTAGAGTTAGATCCAAAAATAACTTTAGACAACACAATGTTGTGGAGCTGAGTCTACACAAAATCCCTTCTATCTGATGAATTCAGACCACTCTGAGGATCAGTCTGAGGAGCTCTCCTTCCTCCTTCCAGAAATGTTCAGAAGTGTAAGTTTTTGGTCTATTTGTTCTCAAAATCTTCAGCTAGTTATAGAGCCAGGGAAAGGAAAGCAATCAGGTTAGCGGGGATTTGGGACTTATAGGTATGAAAAGGACATGGCAAGAGTGAATATTCTTGTTGATCATTCAGACTTAATTACAAATCACTGTTTATGAGTGGGGATGAGTAAACTTGATGATTCAAGGCTCTCCCAGTCCCATGCTGTTGTGTGTCACTGCTTAGCTTGCAGTTGGTGAGACCCCGGGAAGGGCGCAAAGCTTGCACGCTCAGTCAGTAACTCCCTGCAAGGCCAGCGTGAACGCGCCCAGCAGAAGGATGCCCCATTCACCCTGCAGAAGGTACCTCAATCCCGCGAAGGACTCGGTCTGACACCCTCTCCTGGAAAAAAGAAACCCAAGCAGAGTTTGCGCTTTTAAAGTGCTGCCAGAGAGAGGCGAATGGAGGTGACAGGAGCACTGCTGTCAAATAGTTCAGTGCTTTAAGGACTGGATCCCTTGGTCTACGGGGATTCAATCCCAAACCTTCCACCTCATCTGCCTACTGACCGTCCTGGCAAGGGGCAGTCTCTGCAGCTTCTGCTGAAGCACAGGCTTTTTCTGCCACCCCGCTGAAAACACAGGGAAAGAAAGAGTCATCTTTCTTTCAGCAGGGAAAGAAAGACTCATCAACACTTCAAAGCACATCTGTCCTCAAGAGTAAATTATGTGCCTCATCCTCTAGTAACTAATGCATATGAACAATCTCTAAAGAAGTTTGTGATGTAAAAGGAAATACCAAAATTCCCAAATTTTCTTCCCAAATCGAAACCACCACAGCTCCCAGATCTAGATCCTCTTTCAGAACTTACACCAAAGTGGGTTGGATCCATGCAGAAATGGGTCCTCAACCACAGGATTATGAATATTTTAACAGCCTGTGAGTTGGATCTTTAAAAGTAAGAGATTTTGAACTATTCTAAGGAATATATGAATAATTTGAGTTCCCTTTCTTTCCACCTTTCTTCATGAAATTCTGCATCTATGTTGTCTACTTTGAATTTTGCAAATCAATACCTTCACTTTCTTTTTCTCTGATTTGCCTCCAGTGAAGAAAAACTTCAAGGCAAGTGGCCAGATCAAAGCAATCCATGTCTCTGAATATGGTGATCCTTAAAACTAGGACACTGGAGGACTCCTAGTTATTAATATCTAAATCTCTCTCTCCAAGATAGCTAAAATATAGCATCCTGCACTTCCAACGGGGTGTTCAGAGGTTAGTCCTTCTTCTAACCTCACTAGAAAATCCAACAGAGCAGAGACAGTGCTTGAGGTATTATTCTGAAATGGTTCCCAACTTTGTGAGGCATTTCAGTGCCTATCTTATACCCCCAACATAGCTCCTGACTACTGACTTCGGGGCCCAGACTTTTACAGATACTGCAAGCACATACATTTAAGAAAAAATAATTTTCAGGTGTCGCAGTGAAATACCCTGGATTATATTTTAACCAATAAAAGAAAAATAATTTCAGATATCAAACATAACATGAGAACTTCCTGATTTCTTGCCTCAAGCTTAAAAATCTATGACTGTTTGGAAACGTTCAGAACCATCTGATCCTGCCTTAGGGTAGCGATATACTAGATGATCTCCTGAGGTCCCTTCCAGCTGTGCTTCCTGTGATCTCAGCACGTAGAAGGATGGCAGCAGCAGCTGCTCCAATCGCTTTTCACAGGCTCCGCAAAATGTGCAGTTTAGAAACGCAACGTTTGCATTCAGTGAAGAACCTCAGTCACGCGGGCACCCTACACACCCTGTAATAACATCAAGATGTAAACCTGCAGACTCAAAAAACTGGCACACTTTTCAGCAATCTGCCTGCATTTTTAAGACAGTGAATATACAAATGTGTTACTTGCTCTCGTCAGATTTTTCATCCTAGGAATCTACATAATACACAAGGCAATTAAACTTTGTAAAGCCAAAAGTGGTATTTGCATATTTATAGCCTCCACTTTCTCCATGGAGAAATCACCATGCATAGCTATTTCTTCACAGAGTTATAAAAGGAAGTTCATAGTTCATTAGTAAAGTAGAAAATGAAGCTATTTTGTAGGAGCAAAATTTAAAAATAAAAAAAAGGAAACTAAAAAAAAAAAATCCCTTAAAATATAATAGGTGCTTGGAATGAGAAATGGAAAACCATACAGAAACCTGACAGCTGTAGGACCCGCAGGAGAACTGAAATAAAGTTAAATTGAGAGGAGGGGACAGAAAAGGCTCTACCACCCCGACAGACTGAAGGAGGGAGCTACTTAGCAGCAGGCACCTTCACGGAAGTGGCAAGTCCCAACTGGAGAGTCAGCAAGATCAGAGCACGGAGCAGCACAAATGTGTAGAAACAGGGACAGGGAGGCAGAAACAAAGGCTGATTGAGAAATTAAGAACAATATAGAGCAATAAATGATAATAAAGTCCCAAACAGTGATTCACAGTAGTGATTCTTTAATATTTTCTCATTTTAAAGACGAAAAACTCGGGCACACTGTTTGGGTCTTCATCTTCTAAAAAAAGCCTTGTGAAATATATGTAAGTACATATCCATACATACACTGTGTCCAGCACTGTTAAGGCATTAGGGTTTAGGTTTGGGACTTGTTTTTAACAGTTTTTGGAGCAACAGACATCTCTCAGTAAGGAAAAAGAAGCAATTGTGAAGTTGGTAATGTGCACATACTTTTAATTTTTGCTGAAATCCTGTTGGGCTCTTACATAAACTTAAACATAAACATTAAAAAATAAGTATCAATTTAAACATTTTTCACTGCTAATCATTGAAATATTTGCTTGTCTGTTATTTTATAGGATACCTAATCAAATTACAATACACAAATGTTTATCTTAGTTCTGCAACAGGAAACTGTCTTTATAAAAATTAGTATGATAGACCATATTTTTCAGTATGTTTGATACATATCTCAGAAAAACTATGCTGTTTACTCTTCAAACCACATAGTAAGAACGACTCAGAGAACAATAAACACTTTGGATAGCAGCTGGGAGCTTGATACACATAGTATTTAAATTCCCCCATAAAGATAGCTTTCAAAAACAACTAATTGCAACACCCCTGCTCAGAAAAGTACTCATAATTAAACCTGCTTTGTCTACCTTAGACAATTAATTCATTACATGCTTGAGGAACTTGCTTGGGGAAAGCACCAGTTTCCCTACCCCACCGTCTTTAGTTTGTTAATACCAGCTTTTGCTCTTTTTCTATTTGCAGATTTATCACCCATAAGCATTGGAAAACCACAGTCTGCTTCATCAATCTAAGCATTTTCTGGATATAAAAGAAATAATTTCAAAGGAAGGCCTAAGAGTCTCTGGTGTCAACACAATCCAACGTAATAATAAAGGTTCTTCATTAAGGCAAGAGTTCATGGCTGCAGGCATTTGACAAGAGAGGTAATTTAAGCAAATTAAATCCGTTTCTAACAGATTCTTATGGTTCTGGTGATTTGAAAAGCATGCTGTGATGCTGAACCCAAGGTATATATTTCAGATGTGTGTTCTATAATACTTCTCTGCATAAAGCACATGCAATGCCTGGTATTCTGTTTGTCAAGAAAGCTCAAAGACTCCACACAAGCAATTCAGAAGCTCTGTGAATTGCTCTGTGCTGGTCACCTGTAACCTATGTGCACTGCACTTTTCCTAAAATCCCTTCAAGCTTTATGCAAGTGATGAGAAAGAAACATGCTTTTATAGTCGTTGCCCTCAGCATCAGGAGATGAGGTCTCAAAACAAATCTAATAGGACTACAGGCAATCTGGATGGTCATGGAAAAAACCTTTAATCAGCCAGTGCCATGGCTTCCAACCTGTAAAAAATGGCCATAGTTTTTCTTCCACTTCTTGTCCTACCTTTTTCAGTTGAGTGCTTTGGCATGCAACTGCCCCTTCCTACTGGCATGTTGGGTCATTAATGCAATGGGGGACTGATTTACGTTTCCTCTATGAAACAGTACAACACCACTACTAGTAATAAAAAGTACATTTTAACTTAAGAGAAACCTTATTTTGCAGAAAACAGAAGGTTTTTTATCTACTGTAGTGCAAACCACTTGTATTGATCTATTCTAGAGTGTAAGGTGTTGAGGCAGACGACTACTATTTGCTTTTTAGCTACATGTTGACAACAAAACCACATGACAAATCCAATTTATGTCTCTGATCTCCATTGGAAAATTAGAATGGCAATTTTAATCAAAACACATGATGGTATCATGGACAAGAAGATCAAGCATGCTACAGTCTTCTGTTCTTTTAAAGTCTTTTAACATGACGGCTGTATTACTTTATGTAATTGAAAAAACTTATTTTGCTTTTCTATTTAATTTTTTTCCTGTTTGTAACCACTCTGTTTTCAGACACAGCTCAAGATTATCACGGGGTCTTGAGAATAATTAAAAGGAAAGGGATACTGATTAAAATGAAGAAGTGGTTGAGCTTAATCTGGTATTGATCTGTAAGACTTTAGTTATGAACCACATACACTTTTTTTTTTAAAGTAACT